TTTATTATTTCCTGTTATAAAGGCATTTCATAATGTGAGGACACATGGGAGGGGTACTTAACCTAGAGTTTTCAGTTAAAACTTTTTGCAGGAACAGATATCTAATGAGATTTTAATTGTACTTTGCTGACTTGATTCACTCACTTTCTTTCATAGACAATTTGTTTCAAGGAATCTTCTACATTGGAGTTTTCTCTTAATTCTTGTAAACCCTTCTTACCACTCCTATTTCATCAATTAAACTACATTATAATAATCAAATTTAGTAAACACACTGCATAATTTAAGTTCTAACTCTAAAAATTCTGGAAACATCTTCCTTCTATGTTTTCCTTAACAAAGTACAGTTATTTTGAAATATCTTCTTTCACCTTCTTTCATCTCTTGAACATTGTTCTTCAGCATTTTATCTCATCTTTCACTGAAACCCTTTTGTTTAATCTCAGGTCCTGCTGGGAACCACGTTTTGAATATTCTTCTTCCTGAACCGGCTCCTTCTTCTCCATTGTTTCTATCTCAGCTTTAATTGGAAAACTTACCATTTTGCCCTTTTTCTGGACTCCCTGCTAGAATTTTCATCCTCCATGCCATTGGTATCTATATTGGCATTTCTAAAACACATTTTCCTTCCAACAACACCATTTCAATCCAACCTATAGTGTCCAAAATGTATTATGCCCTTTCTAGAGGTCAGGCACAAAACATTATCATTTTTATATCTGGTCATTTTATCTCCTATATTTCTTATTTTTCATTTTTGTTTATATTTTAACAAGTATAATATGTACTTTATAAAAAAAAACTACTATGATACTAATACATCATAATGGAGTGAGAAATGAAAAAAATGACTGGTGTATGGAATCCACTACAAACTCATAATATCACGTATTGAGAACAATGCAAATGATTCACATACATTATCACTAATTTTCACTTGGTTATCTTTTGTGGGCTGTCTATTATGACCCAAACACTATAATAGGCATATCATATTCAAATCATTCTTTGTTTCTATAAAAATTTATTTATTCTAATCTATTTATATTTTAAAAGATGTTGTTTAAGATGATTTGTATATGTGACTGGAGGAAATATTATATATGTTTTAGTTAAGTATCGAATATAACTTGGCCTTCATTGATGAGAGTAACAACTACAAAGCTAATATAAAAATGATACATCTCACATCATTTGAAATTCCTGTGAAATTTGATCCTGGTAGAATCACTGTTAAGTAATATTATGGTTGTAATTATGTACAGTGCTGTGACTGGATCCATGATAGCCCCTGGATTTCTAGTCTTCTTGGCTTAAGAATGTTTAAGATGGCAATATCACTTGGAAACAACAGGATTCCTGATTTCAGCTCTTAAACACACTATGGACATTATGTGTGTATTTAGAAGTGAGCAGAATCTCATTTGGCTTGCTACTTAGGACAGGGTTTGAAGAACTGAGTCACATACCATTACACTTGCCTTTTGAGTCCAAATTGCAGCTCCTTATTTAAATGTATCCATATGTGATGTTTCTATTAATCTCTTTCCTGATGAAATCCAAAGCATTTTTTATTCAGCATATATAGATGTACACATTGACCTCATAGAGGTTTTTTGGGTGTTTTTTTTTAGCTTCTATTTTTATTTATTTGAATTTTCTTGTGATGGAAATGTAATGCATCAAGTCACATTCTCTTAGAAAATATAAATGCACAATAATCAGGGACCCAGAGAATTCTGAGAAGCATTGGATTAGCCATGCGGTAATGCGAGCTCACATCTGCACTTAGTCTAAAAATGTCACACAGACCCAATTCTGCCTCAGTGTAAATGAAATTTGGTCCCTAGCACTTCCATGGTAAAATAAATGGGTGACTATGTTTGTTAAACCCATTTGCTACTTGATTTTTTATGTTATCTTTTTCAATTTGGCTACTTGAGAAAGGAATGCACCTGTACAGGTTTATACTACTATAAATTGTGATTTACAGCTACAAAAGTATTTCAGTATAGTCTAGTAATACCTCTATTTTTTACTTAATTAACATTCTCTCACATTTTTCTCACTGTTTATTTCAAATCTTGTCTGTCCTTCTCTTCCTTCCAAACTCATCTTCTCCCTCAATCACCTCCCATTTCATAGAGAAAAAAGAAAATGCCATAAGATAAATTCTTCAACTTTCTGCCACCAGTCACAGATAAATTCTTCAACTTTCTGCCACCAGTCACAACCTCATTAGTGTGCAATAATAATGCTACTTTCGTTCTACTCTGCAGTGCATTCATCTCCACTTACCTTCTTCCATTCTGCTCTATCATTTCCTATGTGTCCTTTTCATGATTTAAATGAGGTCCAGTCTTTCCCATTAAAAAAAAATCTCTAAAAACTTTACATACATATTGAATTGTAAGAATATGTGATTAACATGATCAAACTTAGAATTCCAGCTCAGCCTTCTCTCCTGTACATATATTTTTTTATATACTATTGATGTCTGGATAGTTCTACATGACAATCACCTAGGTACACTTCAATTTCAGTAAATGGAGTGATTCTGACACCCCATTGTTCCTTCCCTTCTTGTTTCTATACCTGGTCTCCTGGGTTCCTTTCTCTCTCCTTAGGTCAATAGGCTTCAAGACCTTGTAATTTTACAATTTCCGTACTTCTGGACTTCACTAGTGTTGTTACAGTGTTACTGCCCCTTGTATGAATCAGGCCATCACTATCATTTCACTGCATTAGCGCTACTGACTCCTCCACAAATGTCTCAACTCGACCAATGACACCAATGGAATACATTCCCCACCCTGCAACTGAACCACTGCCACTAAAATAAAACGTGCTCTTGGTGTAACCCCCTGTGTAAAAATCTCAAGAGGCTCTCCATTGCCCTCGGATAAAATGTGAGCTCCTTAACTGACAATGCCTGCCCCTTCCTGATATAATCTCATTCTAAATCAAGAGCTTATATTTTATCATCATTTATTTTCCCCCTGCACTTAGCTCAACTCTTCTTACTCTTTCAAAGGTGTCCAGTGTTACACCCATCTTAAAAGTTTTAGATACATATTTTTTTTCTCCTGGAATCATCCACCTTTGGCAGTTTTCCCAGATGCTATTTCGTTGTCCAAGCTTATCTTTGTTTCCTATCAAATGCCCCTGCTTTGTGTTCTGTAGTGCTCTAGGCTATTCTTTTAATAGCTTGAAGATTTTGTTTACTTAATAATTCTGTGTCCTTCATTAAGTTCTCAGTTCTTTACACTGATATCTTATTTAACTTGGTCATTGAAAAATTCTTGATACCCAGCATATTGCACATAGATCAGGATGAAATATATTTGCTCAAAGTATTGTTTAAACTTTAACTGGATTATTAATTTAAATCTAGAAGTTTATGCTTTGGGGAATTAGCATATTTGAAATGAACATGATCATCCATAACTTTCAGTTCTTAAGAAAATTACAATTTTACCTTTTCCATATGTGTATTAGGTAATATATTACTTATATAAATTTCTATTTTACAGATTTATAATATCCACAACTTAATTTTCAAAGAAGTGATTTACAACTCAGACTTAATTTCTGCAGGATCTAGAACAGCCATTAAGAAATTAGACCATAAATATTTGACCTGAATTAACAAGATAATTAACAAATTATATATCAGCATAAAGTCATTTATTTTAACAGTATTTGATCCTTAAGATGTAATAGAAAATGCTGGATCTTTGAATGTGACAAACTTGGATTTTAATCTAAAATATGCCAACTTATTTGCTGAATGAAACTGGACAATAACAAATCAAAAGCTACCATTTATTGACTGACTTGTATATGCTTGCATAGTCTCATTCAGCCCTATACCCTGCCTTTTTAATTCAATACTACTACATTAATTTCTTTAGTATATGTAATATTCTCACCTCCATATTATTTGTTAATCAAGTAGATGAGTGATTTGCACAGAGAATACCCTTAATGAGTGGTAGTTACTGTATTTTTAGTTGGGTCTGTATACTAAATGTCAGAATCCCTCTTCGATTTCTTGCCTCTGGGAGTAGTGATGCCTTCCAACATCATTGGTCCCCCTTTCATACCAGTAGTGAGTGACAAAAAAAGAAAGTCACTACCATACTACTTCTATTTATCATCCTTTTATTATTCTATTTTATACTTCCTTTTCCCTCTTTGCCTCCCACCCCTCCCACCATTCCTGCAGAAGTTAGGTGAAAACTCATTCTAAATTTATTCATTCATGCAACAGAATGTTCTATGAGTCTTTTACATATGTGGGAGGTCCCACTTCCAGTATTAAGTGAACATGATTTGTCACCAGCAGGCACATGAAGGCTTATGTTTGTATGAACATTATATTTAAATCATTTTAATTCTTGTTTTATGTATGGTGTTTCTAAGGTGTTTTTCTAAAACTAATCAGAGAGGAATACTTATATCTGAATAATATTAAAACCATCCATAAAAGAAAACTCTTGGCTGTTGCTGCATTTCAGTTATGTTGAAGCTTGATGTAAAGAGCACGTACAAAAGTCTCCAGCAAGTTAATGGTTTAATTATGTAATGACACCAAAACTTTTCAGAAGCAGGTCATTATACATGGTAGGATGAAATGCAGCATATCCTGATTACATTTTTCCTGGCCTTCTTTTACAAAGAAGGTGCTTAGCTACTGGTCACATAGTCTTTGCAGAAAACAGCTAACAATTTTCTGTATCATTAAATAATTGAGGAAAAACTTCACTAATAACGTGTTTTTCTGTTTAAAGGGATATTGAAAACAGCTGAACTCTACTTTTTCTTGATCAAAATCCATTGTCATCAAATCCACTTGCACTTCGGGAATAAAAAAAAACAGTTCCCAGGAATCCGTGAACAAAATCTCTGCTTGGAAATTTCCAGCAATACTGAAAGCCCATTTTGCAGTAATTCTTTATGACAGTTTCGTGATAGACTGTAAAATACAACTGGCCAAAATGACTAACAAATCAATCATGCTTCTGAGCCTGGTGGTTCTTCACAGCACATGTACACAGGGAGAAACAACATGTAAGTGGCAACGGGTGGAAGAATGGCATCCACAACCCTCATCGTATGTGGTGAATTGGACACTAACAGAAAACATCTGCATGGACTTGTACGGAGACTGCTGGTTTGGGGATGTAAATACAAAAATGAACACTTCAGGCAACCGACCTGTTCCCCAGATTTGTCCTCTGCAAATTCAATTAGGAGACATCCTTGTAGTGTCTTCTGAACCATCTCTTCCATCTCCAGAAATAAATTTGATGATTGTTTCTGAAGTATCGTTCATTAACTGTCTTCCAAATACCACAAGTGAAGAATAGTTACTTTTTGGTTGCAAACTAAAAGGAATGCATACTGTTAATTCGCAGTGGCTGAGTGTTGGGACACATTATTTTATCACAGTAATAGCCAGTGGTCCATCACTTTGTCAGCTGGGACTACGACTCAATGTGACGGTGAAAGAGTAGGTTTGCCAGGAATCTCAGAGTTCACAGTTTTGCTCTGGGCGTGGTAAATGTCTTAGTGAAGTTTGGAGCAAGACAATCAGCTGCCATTGCCAGCCTCCTTTTTCTGGAAAATACTGCCAGGAACTTGATGCATGTTCTTATAAATCATGTGAAAATAATGGCAGGTGCATTAATAAAAGAGGAAAATGGAATAAGCAAGGATATGAATGTATCTGCCGCCCACCATTTGCAGGTAAGATTATTTTTTAAAAATAACATAATTCTTAAAATAGGAACATAAACTGAATTTGTAAACTGTTTTTTGCAGAAAAACACAAGCTCCATTTTTTTTAATATGTAGATTTTTTTAAAAAGAATGTCCTAAGTTTAGATTCTGGACATGCAAAAGCCTATCAGGCATTCTCCGGAAGAAGTTTTTTGCTTATTTAAAGGGTGTTTTTTAAAAATACACAGTTTATCCTGAAATACCTATTTTTAAAACTTTTCCCTAATCTACTCTTAATGTCTCATATATATAAAAATAAGATTATCAGAATAATATTAGTCATTGTCTGAAATTCCCAAGGTAATGGCATTTGGGTTAAACAATTTTAGGTGATGATGTGGAAATGAAATGTTGATCTTGGTGAACGAAGATAAAGAATTCTGTAGCTGGAAGAAGGCATGACATGGCATGGGATAGTTAAGAAGAAAATATCATTGTGAGTGAGAATAATGTTTTTAATAGATGGTGGTGTGGCACCTGTAAAGTGATTGATAGATAATAGTGACAAGGAAATACAGAGCATGATATAATTACTAACTGGTTATGAAAAGGAAAATAAGGGGCAATGGTAAGGAAAGGTTATAAAAGGAAACTATTTGATGAGTAGATGAAGCCAGAATAAAGGCGACCTATAAAGAATGTAAATGATATGACCTGAGGCTGAAGTGAAGATTTAAGGGAAAATAAACTATTTATATCTGAAAGTGTACTAGAGAATTTCGGTCATCAGAAGGAAATGAGGAGAAGCACTGAGAAATGTAGGGAATATTTGATGTTTGGGAACTTAGGAAAGGGTTTCTTTTAATGGGATTTCCAGAGGTCTGGCATGGAGAGTTACAATAATAACGGATAAGACAAAGATGACCTAACAGGGAAATATTGACATGGTTGACAGTGATAGCTGGGAAGACAAAGAACAGATGGGTAATGTATTTTGGTCAAGAGAGAGGAAAAAGTGTGAGCAGCAGATATGACTGGAGCCGATCAGGTTAAGGTATGTAACTGTAATTTTGGGGGACAGTCTTCAAAGGGAGCTTTGAAAAGATTTTCTTTCATGTGGTTGGCAGGACTCCATGGGAGTCAAATTTGAGGAGGTTGTATGATAAAATGGAATGGAATACCTCAGTAAACCATTGTGAGCTCTAAAATTCACCTAAGCCTATCTTTCAAAGAGTAATTTCAGACTCTACAGTAGGAAAGTACCAAGGCCATTCCTGAAGTTAATCCCAGCGATATCCGTCAAACATCCTCTATAACTGGGATCAAATTCTCATTGAACTCGACTGGCACTAGTGATAAAGGATGTCAGTTACCCTGACTGATCCTGGAGTCTATCAAATAACTAGAATTAAGACAGGTCAGCAAAAAAGTCTTAAAAGCACTCTTGTTGCTAATTTGGGGCAAACAGAAAAGTAATTTAATTGAGAGCTCCTAAAGCATACAGTTTAACCTGTCCAAAGAATTTTCAAGAATTTTCGGCTGGAAAATTTCTGTCATCTATCAGAATATAACTTGGCATATATGTAACCATATGTCATGGAATATTATTTCCTTGGCTTTATTGTAACTGCGTAGAATGGTTTGCATCTCATACAATGTTTGTTTGTTTATTAGAAACACAACCATAGGAAATTTAAAATATTAATTTTTATTTTTATATGAATATATATTTATATGTACATACAATATATAAATCATTAAATTTTAAACATGAAAGTACCTAATATAGCTTACTATTTTTTTAAATATGAGCATAAATATTATGCCACTTTAATCATCAATAATTACTTGAACTTTAAATCACAGATGATAGGATTGTAGGATATTTAGCATTGCCAGGGACTCTGAGCACATTCACTATATTCATTTGCTCATAATGCCATAACAAGCCACCACAGTGTGAGTGGTTTCACCAAGAGGAATTCTTTTCTCCGAACTCTAGAGGCTAAACTTTTGAGATGTAGGTATCGACGGCGTTGGTTTCTTTTGAGGCTTCTCTTCCTGGGTGGTAGGTAGCCATCTATTCCCCTTGTTTTTATATCATCTTCCTTCTGAATGTGCCCGTGTGCCCAGATTTCCTTCTCTTCAGCCATATTTAATCAGGACCCACCCCAATTACCTCACATAGTCTTTATTACCTTTCTAGAGACCCTGTCTTCAAATACAGCTACAATATGAGGTCCTGGGAGTTAGGATTTCAACATAGAAATTTGGAGGGGGCGCACAATTTGCCTATTATGCTAAGATCAAAATAGGACATGACTCACTGAACATTATACTTTCAGTTTATCTTATTTTATTTTATTTTACTGTGAAAAGAACACAGTATGAGATCTGCCCTCTTACTAAATTTTTAATCTACATTATGTCATTGCTGACAGTAGGTACAATGTTGCACAGCAGATTTCTAGAGCTGATTCCTCTTGCTTGATTAAACCTTCTGCTCTAATTCCTCCTCAGGTGGTATAAATCTTTTGCATTTTTATCTTTTGAATCACTACCTTGACTAAGCGAAAGGGCTAAGACACAATATACATATTAATGTGTCACTTTGTAAAATTGCCACCTCAATGCTACCATTGTTATGTTGAAGGACTAGTACTTACATGTATTTATTTCATTTACTGTCAAAACATGATTAGCAAATTCGAATTATCATGAAATTAAAGCTAAAATATCAACAATCAGAAAAATATTTAAATATTATAGTCTGGGTCAGAAGATGGAAAACTGGGATCAAATTTACTGAAATTAGTTTTTGTTTCAATTTATATACATCATCATGGAGTACTATTCCTTAATTTAATTATATTTTGTCAAAATTTAGATATTCATTATTAAAGAATTTGGGGAAAGCTGGTACCATAATTAACTACTTATGTATAATGCAAATACTTTAATCTATTTGAAAAATTAATTATCTCTCATTTTTATAGGCACAAATTGTTCAGAAATAATTGGCCAGTGTCAACCACTTATCTGTTTTCATGGGACTTGCAGCAATATTACTGCAAATAATTGCATTTATGAATGTGATGAGCCATTTTCAGGTAAAAATGCATATATATACACATATATACACATCCATCCAAAATTTTAATTTTGTCTTATTTTTAAAATTAAATTTGAGCTATTTAATTTATTCCTAAAAAATGCAATTTTAGAGGTTCTGGTCTCTGCACTTTCTTCAGTGATAAGTCTAATCTATTTGGTTAACAGTTAAAATTATTATTCTGCTCAATATTCCATCATATAAGAAAATATGGATACCAGTTGACAAGTTTTTCACCATGATAAGATATATTTTGTTCTTAAGTACTAAAACATTTTTAGAAATAGCAGACATTTTGAACATATTTGCATAATTATATCTAACTTATGTCCTCAGGTAACATGTCATTATAGACAAATCTCCTTTTAAGAATAAAAATATTTTGTTCCTTCTCAAATGGATTTAAAGATGTGAAATGAAATCTTTGTTTAAACCCCTAATGCTTTAACTATTGATTAAATACTTAAGCAATGAAAATATATTTAAACCATTCCCATCTCATCTTTGAACCCTTCTACAGTTTTCTGTTTCCTGGGAGAGAGAGTTCACCATCAGTATGTCTGTCCCTCTTCAAAATGTCTCTAGGCAATGGTATCTCCAAGCCACATGAGACACCTAAAGACTCCTTTTGTGGGAGTGAAACAAAAAAAATTCATGTTACCTAAATTACAAGGAATGGTAATATCTCTGAGTGTGTCTCTTGCAGTTCATTTCACAGAGTCAAGTTGAAATTTTGGTAGAGTACATCAGCTACTATCCCAAAGTAAGAGGGGTTGGTAACAGTGTAGGCAGTAAGAACGCCAACTGTCTCCAAAGAAATCTTTTCAGGTCTTTTTTTTTTCCCTTAAGTATTATTTCCTTGAGATAACTTATGAGTTAAAAAATGTTTTACAATGTCTTACCATATTCTGCTTATGTATGGAGACCATATAATTTATCTTCCAAACCATGGCATTTTTGAGCCAAAGATGTAGTAAAGAGCAGTTAAAATTGTATGTTTGAAATATTTAGTCATTGACTGGTTAATTGGTTTCATTAACTGGGCAAACATGTAAAATAGTTCTACCCCAAAATTATTTTTAAATAAAATTATTTCCAAATAAAATAATTATGACTTTATCTCTGTAATCAAAGGGTAATTTTTAAACCACTTGACTTTCTGAACATTACAAAATAATATAAGCAGAAACTATGCTTAGATATATTTATCTCCAGCACTATGTTGTTAGTATTTTTGTGAAAAATGAATACTTTTTCAATGTATTATTATTATAGTTTTTCACAAATTATTTATGCCTTCTTCAAAGTTGCATTCATGATAAAAAATTGGGTCGTTAATGACTTCAACTGAATCTTCTACTATGACATTCTTAATTGAGAACATTTTCATTAACACATGTTGAAGTTCCTGTTAATGTCAAAGGAAAATCTAAATGGAAATGTAATGCTAAATGGAAAGTATCCTCAATTCTATTTTTTTATAAAATGTATTGATCAAATATTTTCATTTGAGCCGTATTTATATCTATTCAGAAATATCTTCTTTGAGAAAACATTTTCAAAGCTAATCCTCATCAAATAAATGATCTCCATATGTGATCCCTTTGAATATTTGGTCAAACACAGGTGCTGTAAAGTTGTAGACCTCCTTAACTTGTTTCCATTATTTTCTAGCACATAAATTTTTATTTGAAATTGAGGTGCCCCACAAGTGTTGTTTCCCACAAGCCCAGCTATTCTAAAGTACAGTTACAATATTTATAATCTTGTGCACTTTTGAACTTACTGAATTTCTTGTCTTCAGTGTGTTGTGCAAGAATAAATGTTAATATCTTTTTAAAAATAAGTTTAACACACTAGAACTATTGTAGTGTGAAAGCAGCCATAGAAAACATATAAATGAATATATTTGTCTATGTACCAGTAAAGATTTAGTTACAAAATAGGTGGAAGATCTTATTTGGCTCATAGTTATAGTTTACTAATCCCTGATTTATAACATACTTCTATAGCAAGAACATAGGGACAACTCTCTATAAACTCTATAACAGGACTGTTTAGTCATAATTTGTCTGTCATTTAAAGCACAGCATACATAACTCATCATATCCTCTGATTCCTACTGAGCCAGCTCACTAGAAGTCAGGCAGGTTTGTGCTCACAGGGCAGAGTTACCAGATCATTCTCCTGCCCAATGAGATAAGGAATCAGCTATTGGTGGCTGCTTGGGTATTCAGAATCCCTCAGGCTACCCTTAAATGAGAGATATAATAACTTTGCATCTGGAAAGAACTGGGAAAAGCAAGGTAAGTTATCATTGGTTAACTTGCAAATTTATCCTCATATTAAAATAATATATTACTTATATATATCTCATGCTCCTAGAAAAAACCATGGCAGAATTTAAAGTACAAAATGGAGATCTATCAAACCCATCCCTGTCTATTTTAATGCAACTGTGAATAATAGGATTTGGTTTGAAAATCCAGTACAAATGGTAATTTAATACTTGGGGAGAACTGATATCTTAACAATATTCTGTTTTACACATAAGCATAAACTGGTGTTATCATAGTTAAAGTAGGTAATAATGACCCTGCTGGAAGATCTAATAACTATAAAAGACTGAAATATTTTTTGGTACCTATTGCATTTTTCTGTGACTTAAAGCCTCAGCCAAAAAGGCATAGTAAGCAACACATTTAAAAAAATTTATAAAGTTTGTACATATGAGTTTATATTTATATGTATAAATTACCTATATATGTATCTATTCATCTATCTATTGAGTTATACATATTTTCTAATCAGTTTCTTCAAAAATCTTAGAAACTGGTATATGTATAATTTTGCCCATTGTGATGATCTGTGCATATTAAATATATATTATCTGATACATGAAACAAGATTCATAAATGAGATTGTTTCAAAGAGTCATTTCAAAAGTTCAGAAACTTTGTATTTCCAATGTCTTATCAACTGATGATTACTGCATGAATTAGCCTTTATGTCAAATTTCTATTACTCCAGAGTTTCAATCCAAACTGAGAAGTCTGAAACTCATTTCTTTTGGGAAGTTATGGCTTTCATGCTAGAAGCAATTTGATAATCTACATCTAATGCAAATTTAAACCCACTGCAAAGAAATAAGGTTAATACACCAACCCTGTTTTAACACTTTAGAAAAAACATATTTTTGACTTTTAAGACACTTCAAATATTGTGAGGGCATAAATAAGAAATTTCAGACATTATGAAAGTAAAATTAAGAATTAGAGGTTTAATCTATGATTGTGAAAATGTGTTCATTGTTTCAAATTCGAAATGTTATACAAGATTTATGTACCCATAAATCTTATATATGCGTTTATATATAAATTATTTATAAATCTTAAAGTGATTTGCTCTAGTTTTATTACTTCATAGGTTTATTACAAAAAAATTTAATATATTTTTGAGCAATTCAAGGAACTATTAGACTTATTCTATATGTGGTCAGCTCCTGACTTATTTTAAAATCTTTTCAAATATGAGTTTGACATAGAAGTAGGTCAAATTCATTTCTGATTGTCAGAAAATAAACTTCAGTTTTAGTTTAAGATTAATTTACAGCTGCAAAGATTTAGTTTCATGATTCAAGAAGGTTTATTTGCAAAGCATTTTGGGGACTCTGCATCCAAGATGAATGATGTACAGACTGACATTGGAAGAATAATCAATTTGCAGGACATGGTAACCTCATGTATCATTCAGACAAGTAAACAGAAGTCCAGTCTAACTAGTGAAGAATACTGTAACCCATTATAGTAAAAATACTGCCAGTCTTTTTCATTATTTTAAATCAGAAGATAGGCAGAATATTTTCCAATGTAGAGTAGATTTTTCCATTTTCAAAATCCCTGTGATGAGTATTATTTATGAAGAATCATATTTTCTCCATGGCAGAAAGCTAGCAGGAACTAAATCAGATTTAACATTTTCATTTTTAATAATTGAACTTTAATCCTATCTTGAAACCCAATTCTGATACAGCTTGGAAAATTAATCTATCAATTCAACTCAATCTCTAACCCCTTGCTGTGTGGGGAATTGAACTAGTCCTTGTTCTCCTAAGTGTAATTTGTTTAATAATGTGAATATTTAATCATCTTCATGAGCTAATGGGCACAGTACATGTACAATTAACTCCAAGGCTTAACATTCATAAAATTTGGAGTTGAAAATATGGTAAATATTTACACAAGTTAATCTAACACATTTAATGATGTACATACTTTTTTAGGCATTGAACAGGAAGGAGTTCATGTACTTTATTCTAGATTGTTCCGATAGGAACACTGTCACACCTCAATTTGTGGAATTTTTCTTTTTGACTCTCAGATCACTGTGGTCATTATCAGCATTGACTGTGACCAATAGTTCTACTGTAGCTTAATCCACAGTAACACTAAGAAACAAAGGTTCTGTATCTAATTTCTAACAGTTTTTTCTTTTTATGTTCAGTGGGTGTTGTGTTTCTTTGAGAAACATTTACATTTCCCAAAGTCATAAAATATTCTCCTATGTATTTTTCTAGACGAGTTATAGTTTTACCCGTTCTATTAAGCCTGATAATCCATTCAAAGTTAAATTTTCATGGCTTATATAAGGTAGGAATCAAGCTTCTTTTTCTTTTTCATGTAGATCCAATTGTTCAGCATCATTATGGGAAAAGTTTCTCTTTAGGCATGGATTTACTTGGCATCTTTGTTAAAAAGCAATTATACATATATGTAGGTGTCTATTTTTATATCCTCTATTCTGTTTCATCAGTCTACTTGTTTTTCCTTTAGCCAATAAAGCCCTCTCTTGGTAGAGTTTTAAATTAAACCTTGAGGTCATGTAGTGTGAGTCCTTCAACTTCTTTGTTTTTTATGAAGATAGTTTTGGTTATTCTAGATCCTTTGCATTCCCATACAAATCATAGCCTCATTTTGCCAATTCATCTGAAAATTCCTA